GCGTTTTCGGGTGGACCAAATGAATTCACATTTTTGTAATGAGCCGCCGCAGACTGTCGCCGGCGAAGTGGCGTAAAGCGCAGCGCGGCGGATGGGTTAACGCGCGCCCCCGTTATTCGCTAAAACGTCGATTCGCTCAAATGTCGCTGTTCGCTAAAATGTCATTCGCTCATTGATATGGAGCCGATCACAACTACAGTGACAGCGAAATTATAGGTTCACAAAAGCACACATTTGTTTAGGTATCGTGCCATCAGCATGCTTATCCTACGTTATCCAGGGGATTACACACGTTTGGGACGTCTCTTACAAGAGACTTCCCAAACGTTTCCCTGGGGGATGGATTTCCCGCCTATTCAGAACGCAACATTATTAGTGCGAACAAGCGATCGCCAGTTTTTCTATGAGAAACCAAAGGATCTCAGCAAAGTTCTAACTGCTGGGGAAAAAGCTCATTCGGGTCTATAATGCAGGTGCTAAAAGTTCGTCCTCACTAATACTCTTTCGAAGTAAATCCGAGAAAGCGCCGATGTCTTGTTCGCGCTAGCAGTGTCGGGATGTTTACTGTGGCGTCCTGCCCGAAGATGCACGTCTCGGGCAAAGCATTTGGCAACGAACTAGTGCGATAAATAATATGTGAAACAGCAGAAATAAACAATACCGTAAAGAGTTAGCCAAACAATACGAAACAATCGAACCCGTGCGGAACGCCACGCCAGCCAAGCGCTACCGCTGCCTGCGCTCTGCACTCCGGCAGCACGCCTACTACACGTTGCGCCCTCTCGCGGCCACCGATCCGGTCATCGCTGAAAGAGCCACCTCTCCGCCGGCGCTCGCTACACTGCCCAGTCTTCTAGTACACCATAACGGTACCCATGGGCTAGCTGCAGTTGTAACCCAGTGCTAGTAGTATATCGCAGCTGCTTGAAAGGGAGAGAGGCCACCTCCTTCATGCCGTGGTACGGGGAAAAGCAATACCAATGAGCCGCAGGCGTCGAGCACCTTGTACTTCTGTGCATCCACAAAGCATTTCTGGGACAGCAAGGACAGGAAACTTCAGTAACACAGTGAACAAAAAAGAGACCAAAAGAGTAGGCATGCAGGCAAGCGTGAATTGTAGACACAGCTAAAACTCAAGGCACAAGGAAGCAGAAAGAGGGCACATGAAGAGGCCTTTCGACTTCCTTGCATGTCGGGTTTGAGTCTCGTACCGGGTAGTAAGAAGCAACAATACTGGTTCCCTAGCCTTTCCTGTCTCAAGAAGCCTTGGAACAAAGATATCCTACTCGTCATTTATCTCGTTTTCTCTTCTCGGGCAGATTAAAGTGCACGCTGCGGCAGTAAACTGCCTCCAAAGGACTCAACTCGCACTTCTTAGAGAATGATTGGCGAGCAACTTCTCCATTGTGTACTACGTGCACTTTATGTTTTAAAGGGGTACTCCGGCATTTTCGTCATTGTCCCCGATTTGCCTAAAAACTTGCTAAACACATCAACAAACATCGCTGAAATAGTAACCGAAATATCTGGCCGAAATAGCTTTTTTTCGCAGTCACAGAATTTACAATTTTGGTCATCATTGTGTTTTTCGAAGTGAAAAGCTCTACTGGCAACATTGAAATTGAGACGTCATGGGAAGGCAAAGGTTCACTCTTAGGGCTGTAGACTTTGTTCACAACTGATCACAAACAGTTTCATGGTGTCAAAAGAATGCTTTGGAAGGTCGCCCCAAATCCCACCCAGCAGCACGAAACAAATGCTCGGCATAGTTCATTTCTACACAGCCGCTCGAACCGTGAGCCTGTCCCATCCTGTGACACAAGCACGTAACTAGAGGGGGTTCATGGAGCCCGGCCCGGCCCGCCGCTGCCGCCCCCCGCCCCCAAAACAAAATCCTGGCTATGTGCCTGCGTGACGTCACGGCAATGAAAAGCACAAGTATATTTCAATCTTGGATTGGCATCATACACGACAGTGGTAGGAACATTACTTGTGTCGAGCTAGAGAAGCCATATTGGGGGCTACCCCAGCTACGTCCACACTGGCTATCATGGCAGTTATGTGCGATGCAGACTAAAAAGAAGTCTCGTTGCATTGTTAACACAGACATCAAGTCCACTAGGAAAGGCCAGCTGTGCCATCCACCTGTTCATAAGCGAGCTGGAGTTCATCAAAGCACAACCGAGAATCTCTCGGAAGTACTTGGTTCCTTTTCAGCAGTTATTGAATGAAAGCACAGTGCAGTGGTGATTACCATCAGCACAGCCTTGCCACTGGCACTGCTGTCCCTCGAATGGCACATGCACGACATGGCCTGCAAGCCACATATATCCCTAAAAGAAAGCTGCATAGGATGCACTTACCGTGGCTAGCGTCGCCACCCAGCGAGCTTGCACAAACCCTCTGCATGGCACGCAGTGCTGTTCAGAACAGAGCGGCACTGGCTAGCCAGTTAATGCGAAGGCTTGTAGTGTCTTGCCGCTGCCTTGGCAAAGCTGCAAGTCACCTCTTTCACGCCTTGTGGTGCTCATCAGCTTCAAAAGAAACGGTGTTGAATCGCGACCGGCTATAACCTGTCGCACAAGGGAGAAAAGGGTGTGAATGTGCAGACTCCTATCTGTTTGCTTTTGTCTAGCGTGTGAGTTTTGTTTGAGAAGAAAACAACAATGACACTTCTTTCACAGTAATATGCAAAACAAAAACGAGAACGGCTCGGTTATTAATAAGTTGTGTGCAGCAGAGGCACGGGTGCGAGGGCGTAGCTCCGCAGAATGTTCTTTTTGCACGGCTGCTCGTGCAAAAAGGGCGCTTTTGTGCTCGGGCCTGTGCCTTTTCTGCACACAACGTATGTTACAGAGTGTATAGCACGCCTTCGAGAGCACTCGCGTGCGGCGAGAAATCCATCATATACAGGGTACGATCGCAGGAAACCTCGCAGGGGTGCAGGAAGCTGCAAGTGCACGGTGCACCAGAATGTGAAACTAGAGGTGGTAATAGTATTTCACAGTTTGAGAATATGACGTTACCTGACGTAACTGCCTTACCGGCGGATGATAAGGGCCATCGGAGCACGACCAACTACAGGGTGTCACAAAAGAAAATATACACGGTCTTTTTTACTGCAAAAATCAACTAGGCATCATCGAACGCTCATTCTCTGCCGGAAGATAGAGCTAGAGGTCACAACCGGATGGCAAAGTTTCAGCCCAATCCGATAACTTAATCAAAAGTTATAAGCGATTTTTTGAAAATTTCAATGGGCAAATGGCCGCCGACAGAGTTTTCAAACACATGGGGCTCTATGGCACCAGAAACCGAAAACGGGCAAAAATGGGCTCCATTTTCCTATTGAAATTTTCAGAAAATCACTTATAACTTTTGATTAAGTTATCGGATCAGGCTGAAACTTTGGCATCTGGCTGTGACCTCTAGCTCTACCTTTGGGCGGAGAATGAGCGTTCGGCGATGCCTAGTTTATTTTTGCAGTAAAAAAGACCGTGTAAATTTTTTTTTTTGTGACACCCTGTATTTGTTGTGATCGGGGCATTCGATTGGACGCGGGTTGGTAAAGATTTGAAAAACACGAAAGAATAAAACATGTAGGGACGAAGACAGACAGCGCAGTTCTTTGTTGGCATGAAATGTAAGATCAAGCACATTATTCTGTCGGATCAAATGGTTTTGTTGAATTAGGTTTAGCTCGCAAGTCAGCCGTTCTTCGGCGGGCTTTCAGCTTTCTGCGATGGTTGTTTTAATCGTGAACGCAGGCTCAAACAATGTAGGCAGCGGCGCCAAATAGATCTGAAACTAAGAAACAGCTCGGACGCCTGGAACGAACACACATAGAGATCACATCACAGGAAAACTCAAACCACCCACCTTTCGTTCGACGACGGTACGTCAGGCACGATGTTTCCGATGTTTCTCCGGGCGTTGAGGAGACCGAGGAGACCGCGTCTGTTTCCGTGCTCCTATTGGTCGTGACGTCACCAAATTTCATCCAATAAAGTGCGCGCCGAAGTTTTCTCTAGTCGCCGGTGTCGCAGGTCGACTTTATGGACAGTGTGGCCAGACCTTGATAGACGCATGTCTAGGTTTGGAGAATTTATTTTTATGCAAATGGTTATTTTATTTTATGAACAGTTGCCCAGTTCTAATCACTAAAGACGTTAATAACTTAATTTTGTGTGTACTGTATTAACTGAAATAACCAACCAGCGGTGCCCTTAATTCATCCATTAGCCATTACCATCCAATCCTAAGCCAACTGGCCAGCCTGTCGCGCATGCGCACACGAGTCGAACCTCAATACAAGGTTCGTCGAAATTTCCACGAAAAGTTCGAAAAAGTCGAACCAGGTCGAACTCGAACCTCGGCCGGTTCGCGACACCCCTACTTGATACTCTACTGTAAAGGGCTTTACCATTGAGATCAGTGACCTGGACCCAGCCGCCATTGAGATCAGTGGGCTTTACCCTATGCCTACAAAAGACAACATGGATTTAATAAAGTCATTGGGTTCTAGAGACAGCGAAGGGAGAGTGGATTTCAAGACTGTAGAGATTACCAAGCAAAGATTAAGTGAATGGTGGCAGAAAGCGAGGGAAAACTAGGTATTTTCTTATTAACTGATGGCAAGGGGGTTTTATAGCCCACTTTCTTTGCAGTGCGGACACTGCGGAGTGAATATAGATTTCACATTTAAATATTTTAAGCTTAAATGGTAAAACAAAATGGCTAGGTGGCACAAGCTACCGCTCAATCCAAAGGGCTCAGCCGCATTCATCTATCCATTCATCCTTCTCTTTTCTTATAAACTAAATTTATTATTAACTAATGGCAGAAGGTTTTATAACCTCACGTTCTTTTCAGTGCGGAGTGAATATAGTTTTTACATTTAAATATTTTAAGCTTCAATGATAAAACAAAAGGGCTACGTGGTGCAAGCTACCGCCCGATCCAAAGGGCTCAGCCGGAGTAATTTATCCATTCATCCTTTTAATGGCGTTCATTCAATCCAACGTTGATTCAATCGTTGCGATCGTTGCGTTCAATCTACATCAACGTAGAGACTCCCCTTTTTTCAGGTATCAAGCACCGTAGCGGCCGTGGATAGAGATCAGTGGGCCGTGGTATCAACGCCAAGCTGACAATACGTATGATGCGTTCGTTTGCTCTGTATCATGACTATAGAGTCTAAACCTACCACTTCTGACGCTCGTAAATGGTTGTTCTTGTGATCACGTGATATAAACGAACGGGAGATTGCGGGAGATTCTCCGCGCTTGCGCAGGCTTGCGCTTGGCCGTGTTGGCTTGGCGCGAGGCTGACAGGCTGACGAAGCCGACGAAGGAAAAAAAAAAAAAAAAAAATGCATGATGTGAACCAGTGCGAACCTCGGCAGTAGCTTCGGCGGTGTGTGTCGTATGAAGTCGAATAGGACGGAAACGGCAAACGGCCGTAAACGTGTCTTCCCCCTCCTCACCGCGCGCTCGAGCAGCTCGAGTATGCGCTGCTGCTTGCACAACGCGCAACGGGCGAGCCAACGAGCCCATCGTAGCAGCTTTCGCTTCCCGCGCGCGCTCGTCAGCGTTGCTGGCGTTGCCGTCGTGGTTCGTCTTCGTGGCTCGGAGAAAGCAGCGCCCCGAGTTTGAAGTCTCTGCGGTCTCCTAAAAAGCCGCTCCCACGGACAGCCTTTTCAAGCACTCGGCCAGCGTCATGTGTCGCGGGATCGGCTCAACGAGACTTCAGTGTTCGTCCACTGTGCCGTTAAGATCGCGAAACGCGAGGCGACGTCGGAACGATGGGCGCGACCTGTGACTTGCCAGACTCGAAAGGATTTCGCCAAGCTTGGTTCGCAGGCATGCAAGCACCGACCAGGCTGCTTCCGGGCGCTCAGCTGCCTCGGCGCGTCGAAGGATGGCTCTCTGTCTGTGGTACGTGATCGTGCTTTTTGGCTGTCCGTCCATCCCGTCGGTTTACGTAACGGTAGGGTAGTAACGGTAGACGAGTGACCGACCTAGCGCTTCCTGCGACGGTTATCTCCTTACGCCGTCAAACGGTTTAAAATCCACGCGGGAGTGGGTCTCTTTTTTCTTTTGTTTTTCTTCGTTTCTTTGAAGTTGAGGGCGCGGTGCCGCGGATGTGATATTTGATGTTGACTTAATGGGCAGTGCGAGATTGTAGTATTCTGCCTTTGAACACCGAAGGGTTCTTCCACAGATTCGTACTTTTGTGCCAAGAAGAGTGTGTGGCAGCGTTCGCCCGAGAAGTGTATCTGGTCCAACGCCCTGATCGAATTACAGCCTGGGCCGGGTCAAACGTTGCCCGCGGTGCCTCTCGCGATCGGAGAACTTGACGGTGTAGTTGAAAGTCGGTCAACGAAGCAGACGACTTGCGGGGGTTCCGGAGGCCGTTTGCGAAGCTCCCCTGGGTCGTTTCGCTGCGACGCGGTCTTTGCGGACTTGAGAAAAGTGCGAACTCGTTTATCGAAGGTTGCAGGGGGTGCCTGGGCCTCTATGAGGAGAACAGAAAACGCCGTACCGGCGTTTCTTTTTTTACGTTTATTTGAAGCCGCTGGGCTTGATCAGCGTGTGTTGTTAATTTTATCCGTGATTGGGGGCTCGAGAGAGCGTGAGGCAAATGATAATGCTAAGGAGCAAGGACCGTTAGCGGAAGCAGCATGTAAACCTGCTTTGAACGAACCGGAGGAAATATCTTGGTTTACCCTTTGCGTTTACCCTTTGCCACAGGCGATGCTTACCCTATAATTCTGTGTTCTGTGCGCGAAAAATAGATGTTGCACCTTTTTCGCTTTAACTTCGTGGTGCTGTTGATGGCAGAACCATAATAAAGGATTTGTTTCGCTCTTGTCATGATTTGCAACCTGACTGCATGAGCAATGATGAGAACAAGCACATTAAACGCTTGACTTCAAATGATGCCAGCTAAAGCACGAAGAAAAAATCTGACTAAATACTGCACCACCTCAGAGGGAATGAAAGAGTTTTGTTGCATGCTTGAAAGCAAAAATTGTGAGCATGGCCAGCATATGTGAGAGGTTTGGGAGTGCCAACAAGAGGGTGGTCCACACATGCAGAGGGAGACGCCGCTTTGGGAGAAGAGCCATCATGGCGGCGCCCAGCAAACAAGCGACCCCGCCGTCAGGGCATCTGGGAGAGCAAGTACTGCGTCCTGCTGCCCGGAAAGGCCACCCTGGCATTATTCCCCAGCGAGGAACTGGCACGCCGCTTCCTGGTTGGTGATACTTCTCAGTGAGGTTGCAGTATATGGCACATCCACGTTCATGCGCTAATATTTCTCTAATACACACAATAACAATACCCTCGCTTGCACATGTTGGGATCCTCTTTCAAAGTTGTTGCAGGAATGTGCTTTGAAGCAAATGCAGTTTCCTTCCATCACGTGCATACACTGAAGGCATTGAGGGAACATAGAAATCGTGGATGGCAAGGATTATTTTTATTGTGAAGTGTTGCGTGCAATTTTACCAAAGGTATCGGAGCAAGAGTGTAATGATAGCAGTTGGAGAGGAGGAAAAGGGGGAACTCGCCTCTTATCTGAACCTTCCTTTCTGTTCTTCACACCGCTCTTCTACCCCTTGGAGATTAGCCCATCACTCAAAATTGCTACAAAGGCGACTGTCTTCTCTTCCTCCCTTTAACTTTCACAGCACCGCACTCAGCCAGTGAAATAGAGTACCGAGTTTGCTCATGACAATGACAGCTTGTTATGAATCTGTGTGATCCTAGTTTGAAACCCTTCACATGTGGTAGCACCATAAAGGGTGCCAAAAGCTCCATATAGCTTAGAAGAGAAAGGCATTTTTGAGATTGAAAATAAGTAGAATAGTTTGTTAAGACGAGGTAAACAAGATCAGGAGCAGAGGAATGCCAGCATCGTGGTAGACAACCTTAGAACTTGGAACTTTTGATCTTTCACAGAATGTCAGAGAGCTTGGTGGTGACGTGACATTGCCTGTTGGATAAACGAAAGGTGCCCAAGACACATTCTTCTGTGCAGGGGCAGTCCTGGAGGAACCCCACAATGTCCCCAGAGATGCCGTGGGAACTTCCTCGTTGGCGCCGTTGCCATGCCTTACCCGAAGAAAACGAGGCCCTCTCGGAGACTGGATCCTTGCGTGACGAACGTCTACTTCGGGGCAGCTCTAGCTCAGGTGTGCCACCTTCCCTCAGAACTGCGTGTGGGGAACCATACTTACTAGAGCTTTCTTCTTTGCTTCAGAGTCGATGAAGAACAGCCTGATCTTACATAGTACATCGCGTGAATTGGGGGACTGCTTTCCAGTCCAGCCGAACGAAATATCGGCCATCTGTAAAGTAATAATATGATAGCCTCACTGAAATGATGCATGGCTGTCATCTTTCAGAGGACAAGCATAACTCCCTGAATAATTTTGCAACATACTGTTGCAGGAACTGAACTGCTGTCCAGGCCTAACAATGTGTCCGACTTTTTTTTTTTTTTTACAATTACTAAATTGAAGAGTTATTAACTGGTTATGGAAGGAAATTACTTAGCCAAAACCAGTACAAGCTAGGTTAGGAGAGGTTTAGTCATTCTTAAAAAAAATAACTGTATAATTTGACACTTGGGGAGGAATGTTAGAGGGTAATATAGTCTGGCTAGAGTTGAAGTCTGCAGTGAAATTTAGAGACTGGTCTGCACCAAGGAGCCTTGGTCTGCACAAGCTAACATAAAAAAAAAAAAGTTTTTTTAAGGTAATGTTTACATGCATTTTTAGCTGTCCTTGTCACGTAGCTTTTGATTTATTTTATTGTTATCTCTAATTTCCAAGCTTCTATGCACAAATTGAGCGAAGCTGCAAAAAACACCCAATTAAAAAAAAAAAGGATAAATTAACAAGAACTTGTCCTTGATATGTACCGACACGGTACAGCTGCATAATTTCGGAGATATCAGAAAGTTATTAGTCGTTACGCAACCACAGAAAGACTCATCAGGGGTATATGGGTCGTTTTGTGTTTTTTCTCTCACGCCTTGTCTCCGCATCCCAGACGACCCGTTTGCATTAGCGCGCTCGGTAATGCGTTTTTCATGCGAGGACCCGTTATCTTGCGTGGCGCGGCAAAAGGTTCGTTTTGCGAACGGTGGCGCCGGCGCGCCGGCGCGGTGGAAGCGCCAACTAAAATTTTCACCCGCCGTGCGTGACTCAAGCAACTCAAGTGCTGATTTCATAGCGTCCGCGTAGAAAATCGAAAATCCACGATTATCCGGTAGTTTACCTATTCTTTTTATCACCATTTTTTTTCCCTCCCGAGTATTTTGGTTCAATCTGTGCGGTGGTGCGTATCGGGAGTTGGGCCGTAGCAAGTTAAACATAAACAACGCCAACGCGAGGAAAAAAAAAAAGAAAAAAAGAAACTGGGGCAAACATTACAAAGATGGCGAAGTTTGAGATCGAGGAACGGTTGGAGGTCGAGCTCGATCGCTGTCGTCGTCACTGCCGTTGCTCCCGTCGAGCGGAGCGGATTTAACGAGGCTGGCATCCACGGCGATGGTTTCGACACGGAGCGGGCTTTGATGGGTCTGGACTGCCTGACGTCTCCCGAACAAGGTAAAGAGAACCGACCACCCGTCGAACCGAAAGATCGGGCGGATGCAGCGCCGCGAAAAAAACCTCTTGGCTCGAGGCGTAGTTTGTATGACCAACTTTCTTGGCCGTACACTTCCGTTCCAGATGCATAGAAAGCTGGTTTCGTGCGCGGGGCCAACGGTAACGGAGATCTTTTTGCCGCCCCGACACACCCGCCGCCGGGGCGCGAAGTCGCTTTGCACATCGGTCCACTCGTTGCGCTGGCGCGACTCTTCTTTTTTTGTTTGGTCGTCTCCGCCGGCGATCTTATCGTACAGGACGCGCCTGCGAACCGATCTTCAGCCTGGGTTCCACGCCGCCGCCGGTATATTATCAACTGCGGCGAGATAAAGAAAAAAAAATATATTGGGGGCGCATATGTTTGGGCGCGGTACGACAAATGTCGTTGCACCTGCTGTCGACCATCCGTCCGTCGTCCTGCGCTGTTCCCGCGTCGGCGATTGTGTCGGCGTTTGGTCTGTGTTGCCGTCTGTTGTAACTTGCTTACCTGATAAATACAACGTCATCGGTGTTTGGGGCGATTTGCGTTGTTGGTGGCTTTGATTTGAGAGGTCATACCAATTCTGTTACACTCAAAGCTGTTTCAGAGCGTTCGCGCGTATCTTAAGAAGCGGGAAAAAAATACAGACAAGGAGAGAGGAATGGTTTTGGATATCGTAGGCTTGGTGGGGTGTCTTGAGTGAATGAGGAAACGCGAAGAAAAATTCGCAAGTAGGTCTGGCGAAATTTGAGAAGAAGAAGGAGGGGGATTCAACTTGTTTTGTGTTCTGTCATGCGTCCCTTCGAGGAGCGTGGGCGAGGGCTGGTCTCGCTGGGATTTCTGGGAACGGTGGCTCATTTTAAATACGAAGGTGAAAGACCCAGAAAGTCTTTGGCGCCCTGTTTGTTGGAGAGGCCCAGCCCAAATCTTTTTGGTTTTTTTTTTTTCTTTCTTTAGACTTGGAAACTTGTTGCGTACATCTGGCTGTGCCATATGATCGTTGGCTTACTTCTCGCCTGCCCGATGTTCCTAGAATGAATGAATAACCTTTCAAAAGAAAGTGCTGCACCATCCAGTGAATAATAACTAGCAGCTAAAATAAAATTTGTGAACCCTGAGACCTTACGCTTGTCCATTTATGTTTTGGGGGTAGCCCTTCCATGATATCTTTTCGAAGACTTGCCCTTGTGGGCAGACTCCCGTCATCTTTTTTGTTCACAGTACATATAAGAAAGCTAAAATGTTTGCATGCTGTTCAAAAGAGGGTAAAAGATTGCCATACAATTTTTGTAAGATGAATACTACACCTCTAAAGTAGACCAGTAGACATGACGGGAGCTCATGGAACCGTCCTTATTCGCCCACATGTTTTAAAGGCTGCGAGGTGGGCAACCGCGCCTGCACGCCGAGCCTTAGTTTGACAGTGCCCTGCCAAGAGATGCATGAAGCCTGAGTGAATTTTCGACCCCCTTTCTGTTTTTTTTTTTGTTTTTTTTTTTTTTTTTCAGGCATATTTTTTTTTTTTTTGTAATTAGTGACCATATCCCTTGTGTTGGGCAGTAGCTTGCATGGGATAGCCTACGTTCAGAGCTTAATCTAAATTTTGACCTGAAGTACTTCTTCTATTAAATTTTGTACCAGCTATCAATTTTGCATTTATACTTCATACTCATACATTTCGACTAATCTTCTAACTAGTGGTGCAGAATTATCAATAGTGGAGGTTATACCTATCGATAGTGATAAAACTATCGATTGTACTATCGATAGTCGTCTGTTGTAAAACTATTGGTAGTACTATTGATAGTCAACTATCGTGAAACTATAGATAGTATGCTATCAATAGTCGACAATGGCGAAACTATCGATAGCCAACTATTCTGAAGCTATCAATAGTGTTTTAGGTAACGAAGAAAGTCAAGCGTCCATCAGGGAAATGTTGTAAAGCTTGGAGAAAACCGCAACTGCAGTTAGGGACTTTCGCATAGTGATTGAGGAACTCTCTAAAACCTATTGGAAAACTGCGAATCCTCCTTAGAAGCCATTGACATTAAACTCTAGAAAAAATATAGATTGTATGCTATCCTAAAAGTATGAATAAAAGATATGGATACTGAGATATCAATCTTTTTTTAGGTTGTCGAAGTTTTTCTGCTGCTTTTAATTGCTTTCCGGGTGTTTGCACTTTGTTGTTTTATAGACAAAGTTTGATCATGAAAGTGAATATTTCTTTGTTGCTCCTGATAATAAATCTACGCATTGCATAAATTAGAAACTCTGCTTGAACATGATGCTGGCGATGGAATCGAATGTAAACTTACGGGGACATGACTTCACTCAAATGGAAAAATAATTGTGCCATTTCTTTCGACCACTCAGGTTGCATGAAAGAAATGAAGCGATATTGCTGTTCAAATGCACAAGCTTTTTTCACTGAATGATGCCTCACTGCCAACAATTTATTTGCTTGGATCTCGGGAGAGTTTTGTTTTTATCTTTTCTTTTTATGCAGTTAACATTACCGTAAAATACTAGGGAAGCATGGGCGCTTGTCCGGCTGAATCGGGCACTTGACGTATAATTTGCGCAATTCACAAGTTTGGCAAATGTTAATAGTGGGTGCTTGAACGAAGTGGTAGCTTCTGCAGTGTTTTACGGTATATTACTTGTATTTGAAAAATGGAAAAAAATAAAAGCATTAGTAACTAACCGTGTTGGTTCCGTATGAACTTTTATTTATCTGATAATGTTCGATTTGAAGTGTTCAATAACAAAAATTATTACATCTATTGACTCAGAAATATTTATTTATAAATTATGTGATGGGCTCTTTATTTTGAAGTTGTATTTTACAACAACAGGTAAATAATTTATCAGCCGCCGTTATCAAAACCTACCAAAATAGAACTAAACAAAAAATGGCAGGACACCACGGCAAATAAGCTTAACTGTTTTTGTCACACCTAATTCACGATTTTCAAGAATGAGGTGTGAATGGTTATCAGCGGAAAAAAAAAAAAAGTATATAATTCCCAGCAGAGGGCAGATTTTCACATGTTAGTGATTAAAACTATATGTGACAATTGAGTAATTAAAGAAACACAACAAAGCAAACTTCTGAAAAACCCTGTTGATAAATTTCCTCAGCGAATAACTTCCAAATGCCAAGACAAAGAAACACAAAAAAAACTGAATGTATTTTATATTTTTTCAAATAAGGGCATACTAAAATGTGAAACCTGATATCTGATCCTCGGAAATATACAGACAATGTGCCCCCCCCCCCCCCCCCCCCCCAAAAAAAAAAAAAAAAAAAAAAAAACTAGCAAAACACTTTTTTTTTTTCAATTCATTGCATGAGAAAGCAACTTTATGTTCACTTTCCTTTCTATTTCATGCTTTGCCCAGATCCCCGCATTGTCTGCCCTTAACATATATCCATCCTCTTCTCCTTATTAGGTCATGCTTTTTTTTCGTAACAATAGTTTTCTTAGAGTTGAGTTTCAATAGTATTGATAGTCAATCAAAAACCAACGGTTGCCGATACTATTGATAGTCG